CCCCAACACAGCAAGCGGCTTGTAGCCTCAAGGACAGGCTTTGCCGGCAGCCAGGGCCCCAGGGGTCTTTCTCTTGTGGACTGGCTCTGGGAGGGAGGGCATCCGACAGTCCTCGGAGCCCACACGCGTGCCCACCTGTTCTCCCTCTGGCGGCGCTCCACAGGAAACGGCCTCAGTGAGGAAGAAGTGGGGACTCGCAGAGATGCGCAGGCGCAGGGCACGCAGAGGGGGCGTGGGGTGGGTGCTGGCCGCGCAGGGCGGGGCTGGTGGGGAGTGAAGCGGGACTCGGAATGTGGAGGATAGGCTGGAGCGCGGTGCGCAGGGGCCAGGGTTGCACAGGCGGAAGACAAGTGGAGGGAGTGCGCCAAGGCTGCCGCGGGGAACAGCCCCTCGCTGGGGGCTTGGGGAGGGGTATGAAGAAAGGATGAGCGGGGCGCGGAGGGAGGGGCAGCAAGGCTGCCGCGAGGCGACACCGAGATTCGCGGCCACCGTCTCTCCCCAACCCGGCTGAGCGACGCTCGTCCCCTACGCCTCGGGGCCCTGACGAGACCTTGGCTCTCACCTCCAGGCGGGGAAGGACGACCCCGCGCGGTCCCAGAGAAGCTGGAGGAAGCTTCAGCAGCAGCTGCTTCCGGTCCAGGCTGTGGGGTGGGGGCGAGACCTGGGAAGCCCAAGCGGTTGCCAAGGAGACAAGCTGTCAACTCTGGTCTCCGGGAGGTCGGGCCCAAGGTAGGGGAGGAAGGATAACCTTGAGGAATGGTAATCCAGCTGTTTGGTATCACCTTTCAAAGAAACTATGTAATTTCTCAAAGTGCTTTCACTTATATTGTTTCATTTGTTGTTGTTGTTATGTGCTGTCGAGTCGCACCCGACTTAAACTCTTTTGATAACCCAATAAGGTTATTCCCATTATATAGAAAATAAATCCAATAGTTAGGTGACTTGCCCAAGGTCACAGACAAGCGAGGCCTGTGCTTTTTACCTCTACGCTCAATCTTCCTCTAATACCATCCGCTTTGCTAAGGTATTTACCCTGCAAGTATTGACATTATAAGGAATTGGTTTGACAACCCCCCTTCCCACCACCATGCTTTGACAGGAAAACATAATGGCTCTTAAAAAGTTGAGAACTTCCTCACGCATATTTTGGTACCAATATATACTTATGTAGGAGCTCCCATAGCGTAGTGCCTAAGGCACTGGACTGCTAACCAGAAGGCTGGCGGTTCAAACCTACCAGCCACTCTTCGGAAGGCAGACGGGGAAATCTATTTCCTAGTGATACTGCCTGAGAAACCTGAGGAGGGGTCGCTATGAGTGGGGTCCGACTCCACAGCACACAACAACAACAACATAAACTTATATAAGGTCCTGGAGTGGCACAATCAGTTGCATTAGACTGTTGTTGTTGTTGTGTGCCGTCGAGTCGTTTCCGACTCACAGCGACCCCATGCACAGCAGAACGAAACACTGCCCGATCCCGCGCCAGACCCACAATCCCTGCTATACTTGAGCCCATCATCGCAGCCACCATGTCAATCCATCTCCTTGAAGGCCTCCCCCTCTTTGGTTGACCCTCCACCCTACCA